AATCTGTGTAGCATTCTAATAAATTATTCTGTGTAATATTCTAATAATTTATTGTGTAATATTCTAATAACTTATTGTGTAATATTCTAATAAGTTTTTCTGTGTAATATTCTAATAATTTATTGTGTAATATTCTAATAATTTATTGTGTAATATTCTAATAATTTATTGTGTAATATTCTAATACATTTTTCTGTGTAATATTCTAATAATTTATTGTGTAATATTCTAATAAATTATTCTGTGTAATATTCTAATAATTTATTGTGTAATATTCTAATAAATTATTCTGTGTAATATTCTAATAATTTATTGTGTAATATTCTAATAATTTATTGTGTAATATTCTAATAATTTATTGTGTAATATTCTAATACATTTTTCAGTGTAATATTCTAATAATTTATTGTGTAATATTCTAATAAATTATTCTGTGTAATATTCTAATAATTTATTGTGTAATATTCTAATAAATTATTCTGTGTAATATTCTAATAATTTATTGTGTAATATTCTAATAAATTATTCTGTGTAATATTCTAATAATTTATTGTGTAATATTCTAATAAATTATTCTGTGTAATATTCTAATAATTTATTGTGTAATATTCTAATAAATTATAACATTCAGAATTCTAATAAAAAAATGTATTTAACATTCTAATAAATTATTCTATATAAAAGTTATAATAAATTATTCCATTCAGAATTCTAATAAATGATTTTATATAATGTTATAACAAATATTAAATTTATCATTCTAATACACTATTATGTGTAACTTTATAATAAATAATATTGTGCAACTTTATAATAAATTAATCCATTCAGAATTCTACTAAATTATTCAGAATTGTAATAAATTATTCTATGCAACATTCGAATAAATTATTGCATTTACACTGTATTAAATTTTACCATTAAGCACTGTAATACATTATTCTATGCAACATTCAAATATATAATTGCATGTAACATTCCAATAATTTATTCCACCTAACATTCTAAAATATTATTCCATGTAGCATTCTAATTAGTGATTCCCATTTAGCATTACAATACATTTAAAAAATTCCAATCTTCCAATCTAATTTGAGAACAAGCTACTAGCTGAACTTACTAGCTGAAAGATGAGAAGAGTCATTAAACAACAAATACACACACAAAAAAAACCTAATATACAGATGCATCTTTATATTCTATGTAGTGATTTCGAACATTAATTTAGTCTTTTCTGTTGATTCAAATTAATGATGTTAAAAATATTTATTCAACTTTTACTTGATTGTGTTTTTAAAAAAAAGCTATTTTGATGTTATTTGACGCACATATTAAGGCTCTCCTTTAAAGCGCAAGAACATGCAAGAGAAAAAACATTCCTCAGTTTGGTATACTACCTAGAGCACATTAATGAGTGGCGCCAGGTCAGGCCACGAGCTTGAATGCTCTTTTATGTGTTCAGTTATAAGCGTTGCTTATGTAAGACAAGCGTCACATGCCTGAAGACAGCAGTCAAATGACCACAGCATCATAATGAGCCTGTAAATCCTGTGACACGCCAGAGAAATGAGTTTATACTGTAACACAGAGGTGAGACCGAGCACAAAAACGCAGTTAACATTCATGTTTTGTTGACTGTAGAGAATTCATTTAATGTATGACTCCAAATACAGCTTGTAAAGATCTTGTCACATGACTATTGAAAGTGTTCACATGATGTCACATTATCAGGAGATCGCCTCCCACCACATTCAAATCGCATGTATGAAAGCATTTTGGATTCTCTGTAAAATATATTGATGACAGAAGAAGTTGTGTCGACACCTAAAGGCTTTCTTAGGTTAGTAAAGGTGTTTTCTGTCACTACTTGTTAAACAAACACAATTTTATTACTATTTGAGATATCAAATTTCTAAAGTGAGTAACATTCGCGCTTGTTGTTCTTGCGTAAATCCACCAGAGGCCGCTGTTGACTGACTGACTGACCGACCGACCAATATCCCCACCCACCTCTTTCCTAAACCCAACCAATAGTGTTTAAAAAAGCACTGATTGACCAGCGCCCATCCGTTGTAAAAGGCAGGAAAAAGAAAAGCCCTCTCCTGATTTTTACCACGTTTTTCAGATTTTACCACATTCTCATCCTGTTATTGACTTCTTTATTTTATTTTTTGACTTCTGTTTTAGTCTTGCGCGCTCTAAAACCGGACTCGAACTCAATTGTCATGGTCAACTCCTCTCTGCATCTCAAGTCCAACATAAATGGCAAGCTACTGGACAAACTGGTCACAGCGGGAAAGCCATCCATAGGGAGGTAAGCAGTCAGCTGGTAAGCGCGAAAAGGGAACGAAGTCATACCACCCCATATCATTCTTTTAAAGACTAAATGCAGCCATACGTACTTCTGGCTACAGAATTTGCGATCTCCAGAAATGTACATAGGGCTAGGTTTTCAGAATGAGCCTGTGTTGTGCTTAACCTGCATTGATGTATACAGATTAAAGCTACACAATTATTCATTCAAAGATCGGGATCTCAATTTAAACACCCACCAACCTAAAGAATCGTGATGTTTATTAATCCTTCGATGTGTGTTACCAAATTTATTAAATTATTAAATTTTTATTAAAAGGCTAAAATTTGAATTAAAAGTTAAAACCAAAATTCTGGCAGTTTGCTATTGTTTGTTTAATAAATGAAAAACAAATTGTATTTGTCTCTTTCCCTTATAGCTGATACAAAAAATTGTTAAAATGGTATATATACAGTAAATACGCTACCTGACAAGAGTCTTGTCGTGGATCTCAGTTGTAAATACAACAAATAATAACTTGACTCCTAGTTGATCATTTGTAAAACTGTCAGAAGGGGGATTTCTCTGATGATTCATTTATTAAGCTGCATCCTAATTATCACAAATACTGCAGAAAACATACTGGAACCCACATGGAGCCAAGATTCTTATGGAAATCAGTCAAGTTTGGTGAAGGAGACATCATGGTTAAGGGATAAAAAACAGTATGGGGTCGTGCGAGAGATCTCCAACATCAACAGCCTGAGGTATCAAGATATTTGTGCTGCCCATTACATTACAAACCACAGGAGAGGGCAAATTCTCCAGCAGGATAGCGCTCCTCATACTTCAGCCTCCACATCAACTTTCCTGTACGCAAACAAGGTCAAGGTGCTCCAGGATTGGCCAGCCCAGTCACCAGAAATGAACATTATTGAGCATGTCTGGGGTAAGATGAAGGAGGAGGCATTGAAGATGAATCTAAAGAGTCTTGATGAACTCTGGGAGTCCTGCAGGAACACTTTCTTTGCCATTCCAGATGACTTTATTAATCAGTGATTTGAGTCATGTCAGAGATGTATGGATGCAGTCCTCCAAGCTCATGATGGAGTCAGACACTATATTCACTCTGTCTCCACTGCAGCAGGACTTTATATTCTATACTCAACATTATTTCTGTTTGGGGACAAGACTTTTGTCTAAGCAAAGTCAGACCTTACTGTCCTAATGAAATCATTCAAAATCAAGGCATGATCATATTTTATTTTGGTAAAATAATTGTAATCTAGAGCAGTGGTTCTCAAAGTGGGGGTCGGGAGTTGCTTGGTGATTTACAAAACTCAAATTAATTTGATCAAACTATTAGAATTAACATATTTTAGTCATAACCCAACGAAGATAGTTAATAGTTACATTAAAGAAACAACAACCACAACATACAAAAAAAATCCATCAGCCCTTAATTTTTTTTTTTCTTTTAGACTTCGACCCCTGAGGTCTTTAGAGTAACCAAACAGCAATAGCGTCAGCTGCAACAGATTGATTTTACAGGGCCAGGTTAAATTTCTGACAACCTTCATGGCACAATACTTTGAAATAAGATATTTGAGGTTAATATTAACTTAAATAATTATGTTTTTTTGACTGTTGCATTTTTGTGTTGTCAATATGCACATGTTTATATAAGCCTATAGTTGTGTTTGCAAAAATGCATAACTACAAAAATGCATAGCTACCTTCGAGACAAATGGGGATCCTGAGTCACTGACATTGTTATTTTGGGGGTCATGAGCTGAAAAGTTTGGGAACCCCTGATCTAGAGGCCTTTGCCTTTCATATAAGCCACTTCTGATACCAAATGATCAACTAGAAGTCAAGTTATTACTTGTTCTTCCTAAGACTTATATATGTGTACATGATAGAACTGGGGTATATGCCGAAGCATGCTAATAGGACTTTTAATTTGCCAGTAACCTGGGTTAAGCGCTTCCGGCGAACTGAATGCCAATGCAAAATCCGGTGCGTTTAAGGTCTGTTTTCTTTAAAAATCAGCGATCTCCACTGGCTGAGTGATATCCGATTTAAAGTGGGTCTCAGATTGTACAAGAAGCACTGCATTAAATTACATTTCCCCCGCCATATCTTTATAATATGAGCATTTATTTTACCCCAGTATATTCAATGGAGCTTCTGCGTTAGTCTGCCGATTCTGACAGGCGCGTGCGAGTAAACGGCTTTTTGTCTCGTTTTACGCTTGAGCAACTAAATAAATGCTAAAGTTTATTTAACTGAATGTATTTTAATGACATTACAACATCGATGCTGTATAAGGAACCATATAAAATGAGAAAAAGTTCACAATAACAGGTCACCGGAAGTGTATCAGCATGGGAACAGCACTAGCTCGACATATACCCTATTATATACAAATTTAAATATCTGAAGCAAAACTGTTTTGGATAGCTTGTTTCTATATATGTGTGCATCACATAGACACAGTGAATATACTACATATAATATACACACATATATCATGTCAAAGCAGACATTTATTTTGGATGCGATTAATCTTTGACCAAGTCAAAAGTTTTTATTTTATTCACGCTATTAATAGTTGATTGATAGCTGATAAATGAATGGTAAATTGCACAATCTTGGTTCTATATATAAACGTACAGAAAGGAAAGATGTGGACGCTTTCACTCACCTTTGAATATGCTTTTCCTCCTTTCAGTTCCTGTAATGAAAACAGGAAGAGTGAGGTTCAGTGACGGACTCACGAAACGCCATCAGTGTTCATCCTGACACACCTAAAGACCACTCTTCATCAACAACAGTTCAGAATCACAACACACAGAGAACAGCTTCACATCTCATTTCACTTCAGCTATTAACGTGCTCCAGGTTTAAACTTTACCTTTAAGAACAGGTCATACAGGTTTAGGAAAAATGTTATAAGTGAAGTTTTGTAAAGTAGCTGCCCTTCAATGTAAACAATCTGCAAAGACATTCATTGAACAAAGTACATGATAAATAAAGCTGTTGTAGCTCTGAATCGCCTTAAAGAGTCATTATATTTTCAAATCTTTGCCTTCTTTTGATCATGTTATACATGTGTGTGTGTGTATATATATATATATATATATATATATATATATTAGGGGTGTCACGATTTAGATTTTTAATCGAAATTGATCGAAATTTATGCTCAATTTGGATTATCGAATCAAAAAATAGAATCGTCGATGCTGCCACGCCCCCATGTCACGTCAGCTTGGCTTGCCAAGTGGAAAAAAACAGGCTTGTTGAAGTGCTTGTTAAACTGCATTAGCAGGAGACCCGTCAGAGATTAAACCCTCTCCTCTTTCAATGAAGTCGCCGGTGTGGAAGCATTTTGGATTTCCAGTGAGTTATGTTGACAACGTTCGTGTTGTCGACAAAAAAAAACACAGTTTTGCAAGCTCTGCTATGTACGTATTACGTACGGATCGTCCGATAGACAACACCGGCATCGCGATCCTCCGCCCGCCCCCGTTGCAAATCCGCTCGCGAAAAGTACACACTCAGGCCCTGTTTACACTGTCTTTGTTTTTAAATGGCATTTTAGAACGACAACGATTTGACATCCACACTGGCGTGTAGCATTTCTGAGCAGCCCTCCTTCCTCTGAAAATGCGCATCACGTGACCACACAGACACAGACGCACACACAGCCATGCGCTCGAGACAGCAGGTCCAGGCAGTCAGAGGACTGCTTTAATCTTTCACTCACTTGTACTTAGTCATTTTAGCGGACACCTCAGATACTGTTGACTGGTTCCTGTTGGTTGTGCGTCTTTTTTACCGACGCCATTATAACGACACAGATCACTGCCTATTCACGAGTCCCGCAGAAAAAGTGATTGACAGGTGGTAATTATGTGTGTATCTTGCCTTTATTCATTTACTGTATGATTTGTTTATGGGTAAAACAAAGACCATGCAGGTCAGGTAGTTTAAACGGTAGGCTACAAATAATTAATTGGTCATTAATATATAATATAATAATAATATATCATAATAATAATATAATAATAATATAATATATTAATATATAATATATTAATAATATATCCATAATATATATATGGATTTGTAGTTCTTTAGCGGACTGCGTTTACTAACGATTTGCTGCCGCTAGATCGCTGGTGATCATACCGATTAGGGTAACTAGGCAAGTCATTGTATAAAAGTAGTTTGTTCTGTAGACAAATCGGGGAAAAAAATCACTTAAGGGGGCTAATAATATTGACCTTTAAATGGTTTTACAAGAAATTAAAAACTACTTTTATTCTCGCCAAAATAAAACAAATAAGACTTTCTCCTGAAGACAAAATATTATAGGAAATGCTGTGAAAAAATGACTTGCTCTGTTAAACATCATTTCGGAAAATGTTTAAAAAAAACAGGAGGGCCAATAATTCTGACTTCATCTGTATAAATTTTGCCAACAATAATTTAACTCGAACACTGCAACCTCAACTCTGCCCTCAGACTGATCCTGATCTCACCTTTCTGACAGAGACGCGGCACATGCAGGGGTCCAGAACACCCGTGTTTGAGTTGGCGCTCATCTTGCACACAAAGGAGAACCTCTTCCTCCAGCGAACACAGTTCTGGTGGACTTCTTCCCTGCGGGCGAGAGAACAGAGAGTCAGAGCTGTTGTTTCAGACACATGTGGATCCAGACTCAACACCGCTGATGTGCTGATGTTGGTTGCCAGCTGCTGTTTCCTGCTGTGGGTTTGTTTGTAATGGCTGCTCGTGGACTGAAGAGTTCACCACTGGAGATCATCCACAGCTTCAAAGAATAGAAACCAGGATCAAATAAAACCACACGCTCTTCAACTAAAGCCAACGCCGTTTATTTCAATATAAGAGCCATTCTTGAGTGTTTATTTGTAATGTGAAGGAAACACTGCAACAAAATCATCTTCTTATTCAGTATCGGTGTATTGTACAGTATAATTGTCTAAACATTGTGAAATTAACATTCATTACTTGAGAAGCAAAATGAAACGGGATATTATGTATTTGTTTTAAAGAAATAAATGTATTAATAAGCTAATTTAAATGTTTTATTTATGAAACAGATAAATAAAGGAAAAAAAAAATCAGTCAGTGGGGTATGAAAAATTAATATAAAATATATCTTATTTATTTTATACATATTATATCTTATATCTTAATTGAAAATAATAATATTGTTTCTTGACAATTTTGAGCCCGATGCCCGACATTGTTTCTTGTTTAATGCATTTAATGTTATTTATTTATTTATTTATTTTTTCAGAAAACAAGACTATTTTACTTCTCAAGTAGATTGAGAATATAACGGAGATTGTTAATATTTGGATATTAATAAAATAAAATATGAAAAATGTAAAAAAAAAAAAAAAGTATATTCAAATTACATTACATATGATTCATTTTTTTTAACTAGGAATCAACAAAATGATCGCCTTGTTCAGTATCAGTCAATTACAATGTAAACAATGTAAAATCAAGATTCATTACTTTGGAAAGAAAATTATACAGATATTACTGTTTTTTTAAATAAATAAATTCCTTAATAAGCTCAATTAAATCTGTTTATGCATAAAATATAAAAATAAATAAATAAAATCAGCCAGTAGGGTAGATTTTTTTTTATTCTTATTTATTTAAATATAGTCTTATTTTTCCTTTGAATTAACAGTTGAGCCCAATGGCAGACATATTTTTGTTTTAAACATTTAATTTTGACCTTTTTTCTTAGAAAACAAGATAGAGAATACTGTCATTATTGTAGAATGTTATTGATCAGATATTTATATTAAATATGAAAAATGCCAACATTTTTAGTAATTATCTAGAATACACTGCAACAAAATAGTATATAGTATATTAGATAGTATCAGTTTATTTTACAGTATAAATTAATAAACATTGTAAAATCAAGATTCATTACTTGGGAAGCAAAGTGATACGGGATATTACATATTAAAAAAATAAATACATTTATTAATATGCTCAATTAATTAATTTATATATTTACTTATTCATCCATGTTTATGCATAAACATAAACGTTTAATTGAGCTTATTAATAAATACGTTTATGCATAAACATGAATGAATGATTAAATAAATTAATGAATTAATAAATTAATTATTAATTACTTGAGATAATTAATAAATATGTTTATATATAAACATGAATAAATAAATAAATGCATAAATAAATAAATTAGTTAATTAATTTAATTAATAATTCATTGAGCTTATTAATAAATGTTTATGCTTAAACATGAATGAATAAATAAATAAATTAATATATAAATTAATTAATTCAGCTTTATTTATTAAATGTATTAATAAATTTATTAATAAGCTCAATTAAATGTTTATGTTTATGCATGAAAATAAATAAATAAATAAATAATAAACCAAAATAATAAAAACCAAACTGTCCAAAACTAAAATAATCGTATTTTTCCTTTGAATTAAAAATATTTTTGAGCCCAATAGCAGACATATTTTCTTGTTTTATGCATTTAATTAGACCAATTATTTATTATAATTATTTTAGAAAACGAGACTATTTTGCTTCTCAGGTAGATTGAGAATAATGTTAATAATGTAGACTGTTAATCTTTATATATTTTAACAGTAAAATCATATTAAATTTCAGAAAAAAACTTTTGTTTTTTGGCCAAGTAAAAGCCTTGAGTTTCAGTATTTCAGTAAAACTATTTAAATGCATGAGAAATCAAAAGTTCTTGCTTTGTTTTTACAAAAAAAAAAAAAAGTACAAATAATCAATTAAACTCATAAAATGAATCAAAATTCTGTTCTACACAAACATTTAAACTGCACATAAGGCTGTTGTTTTTATACAAACCTAACAACAACACATATATTGCATTATTTAAATATGACATTTTTTGCTTCTAATCTTGTATTTTGCTTTAAAAATACACAAAAAACAAATATCTTCAGAACCACTTGCAAAACCCTGCAGGACCTGCAAAATATGAAAGATGTAAATTCATAAAAAGGAATTAGAATGTGATGAATCAGCACTGGCATCCTCACAGTTTTGGAAGGCAATCAGAGCCAAAGAGTCTTTAAATGAAACAAGCTAAATTTGTGTCAACGTGCACAGTTTCATAAACAATTTGTGTTCATAAGCCAATGAAACTGCTTTATCTGAGACTATATGTCACCTAATAGCACATTATACACTGATACAAACATCAGACATTCGTGAAGAATACCATAATGGTGCACTGGCCTTGGCCTGTTGGTTGTTGCTATGATATAAGATATAAATTAGTTTTTATTAGTTATGCTTTTATTTATTTAATGATATTAAAATTAAGATCTTATTTAGAAAAAAAATTAGTCCAGTACAAACAATTAGTCTTTAAAACATTATGAATGAGTGAACACCTCTCCATGTATTCCAGACTCTGAGTGGTGGTTGTCATTTTCCCCTCTCATCTTGACTTTGTCCATTAGTGTTTGTTTTCAGCTCTGAGTTCACCTTTGTGTTGTCGCTCCAGCCAATAGAAATACAGTAACTACTGAGGAGGTGGGGCATAAATATAGCAAAGCCCCATCTGATCAAATTTAGATAACGAAATGATGCATAAAATGAATATAATTCATCAAGCATTTGCGATATACTGCATATACTATTACCACGATAAAGATCATTTTCCGAAATATTGTGCTGCCCTAGTCCTCACATCACCTTCAATACAAATTTTCTGCCTCAGACTGGGTTGTTTCTGAGCCCAATCCCCTTCCATACACAGCTTCATTGTGTGCGATAGAAATAGAAATGCAAATCAAACATCACAGTTCCACTTATTTTGGCCCAAAAACCATTTGACTACTAGTTCCTACTAATACTTACAGCTGCAAAATAGCCTGCTAAAAAACATCTACATTCACAAACACAACTTCTTATTTACTACACAAACACACAAGCATCAAGTCAAAACACACACACATACACACACACACACACAAACTCCTGACTGTCTTTGAGAATGTAAAGAAAGCCATGAACAAACAGTACTGAATATTCATGAGCTTCAGACCATCTGCTATGCAAATACATCTAATAATACGACGGAGGAAATAAACTCTTGGTTTCTTGTAAACTGCAGGGTTTAAGCTGACGTTAAATTAGAATAGCAAATATTACATTAATAATTATAGTAAGAAATCATCTAGCAACCACCCAGGATGCCTCAGGGTTCCTGCAGGTTTCATCAAGTCGAATTTGAGACTTTAAGACCTTTTAAAGACTACCATAAATGAAATGTCAAACCTTTACAGGACTAAACATTAACAAACATTCTAAGAGAAAAGGAAAATATTTTTACCTGCCTCAAATGTAGTTATTTCTTAGTCACACGGTAGAGCTGCACGATTCTGGCTAAAATGGGAATTGCGATTTTTTTGCTTAAAATAAAGATCACAATTTTCTCACGATTCTGTAGATGTAAAATAAAGGTATGGTAAAATCAAACATATGGCACAACATCGATAATAATTTTAAGTGGTATACTGGTTTTTATAAAGAATTCTATTCTACTTATAATAATTATGATGTTGAATTATTATGTTTGAGATATATGCTTGCAATCTGTCATAAAAAATCAGACATTTGCCATTATCAGATTATATTCAACAATATATAGGCTGGAGTAGTTATACTGACATTGTAAACATTTATTTTCATGCACAACTGTGGGTTCGCTATGAAAGAAAGAACATATCAGATGCTTGTCGTAATCATAACTCTAAAATGCGATATGATCATTTAAATGTAGTGCACACTTTCTGTTTCATTATGACTGCTAAGTGCTTGTTCATACTTCGCGCGGCTCCCAAACGATCACTTTGTGCCACAAACTGAATATTATTTACAACTGTATTACCCGTTACTCACAACATATGCAGGTTCTGTTCACTAAAGTAGACGCGCACGCATCTATCATTAAGTAGAGCCCACTGGCGCCCTCTCTGTGATAACGTGTGATAACAACGTCACATGTGATTTCCTGGCTGCGAAAACATCATAATATGAAGACAAAAATGACATTTTTAGGTGAATTATACCTTATAAATACAGTATGTGACTCATTCAACATCATTTAGAGGTGTCAGTGTCACTAAGCAATGTATGTGAAACAATAAACAGCCGCCTTTTCTTCTCTCCTGAACTTGAAAATATGATTGGCAGAATCGTAGAAATGCTGGATTAAGATCGTCTAAAGGGTCGAATCGAGATCGCGATCTTTTAACGATTATTTGTGCAGCTCTATCACACGGTCTAAATAATGTATCAAAACAAGCAAACTGTATTGTTATACATGCAGTTTTTTCAACATAATAAAAAATAGACACGTTTTTAAAACTATACTAGATTAACTTTAGCACCCCAGTTTGTCCAGGTCAGTTTCCCCACCATAAATTTAATGTGAACCTTTAAACAAATCCTAATCATATTAACATTTATTTCACATTTACAGAATCGTGAGAAAGTATCGTGATCTTATTTTTAAGCAAAAAAATCGTGATTCACATTTTTGCCAAAATAGTGCAGCCCTACTGCGAACATCCTGTGCCTTAGCA